CTGTCTAATACAGGGGACTAGCTTCCCCACTTCTTAATATATCAGAGGTACCAGCCTAAATAGCCAAAAGGCCCCAGATTCCCATCTAATCTTGGAAGGTAAGCAGGGTCAGTATTTGGGTGGCAGACCACCAGGGAATCCCAGGTGCCATGGCAGTTAAAGTGAGGTCAAACTGCATTAATTCTGCAATGTAGCAGCAGCCCATGACTCTGGAGACCAGGGTTCAAACCACTGCTCAGCCGTAGAAACCCACTGGATGACCTTACTCAAGTCCCACTCTCTCAGCCTCAGAGGAGGGCAAAGACGAACCTCTTCGAACAAATCTTGCCCCAGAATATAACAAAAGTGGATGAAACTGACCTGACCTGGAGCTTGTGACAAACAGGAGGAAGACCAATGTATTGTTATTACATTGGTCCCTTGGTATCTGCTGGGGTTTGATTCCTGGACCCTTCGTGGATACTAAAATCCATGGATGTTCAAGTCCCATTAAATACAATGGCTAGTAAAATTTTGTTCCTTATATAAAATAGCTTTTTGGAATTTATATTTTTAAAATACTGTATATTTTCAAACCATGGATGCTTGAATCTGTGGATTCAAAGAATGTGTGGATACAGTGGGCCCTTGGTATGTGATGGGGTTTGGTTCCAGTACCCAAACCTGCAGATGTTCAAGTCCTATTAAATACAATGGCATAGTCAAATGGTGTCCCTTATATAAAATGACAAAATCAAGGTTAGCTTTGTGGAATGGATATATATATATATATATATATATATATATATATATATATGGAATATTTTCAAACCATGGATGCTTGGATCTGTGGACAAAGAATCCATGGATATGGAGGACTGACTATATTTATTATTATTTTTAATTTTTTTGAGGGAGGGGGGAAAGAGAGGAGGACCCAATGTTGAAACCAGTTGCTCCAGTTGTAGATGGGTTGGCTCAGTGCCATCTTCATAGGCAGCATCTTCTTCTTCCAGATAGATTGGATCAAACGGAGGGGGAGAGAAGTGGGGGGGAAAGAACTGCAACTATGAAATAATTTTGCAATTACCTCCGTAATTAAGGGCAGTTTGTTAATGAAAGTGCTTGGTGCATCGTGACTGCAGGGCACTCCATCTTGCCGCTCGGCGCAGGCGGCGCGCCTGGGTTTTGCGCGGTAGACGTGGCTGGGGAGTTAGTGGTCCAGCTGTCATGGTAACAGGATGGATGTAAATACAGCAAGGGCGGTTGATGATGGAGAGCCATCATTAGCCGCCTGCCCTGTGGGAAATGGTCAGATAAGCAAAAAGAAACTTAACATATGACAGCGGGAGCTGTTGCTTATGTTTCTTTAATGCAAACATTTAACAAGTCCCTACAAACCCAGGCCTCTTGATACGATAGCTTTTATATTTTTGCTTTAAAAAAGAAGCAAATGGGGGAAAAACAAACAAATCCCCATTGAAAGCAGAGCGCTCACTGGGTTTGATTTGATCTAGAAATTTGCTGTTACTCTTGGTGCTTAAACCACATTGAGCAATTCTGTTGGGGTATTTGCATGTTTAGGAATCGTGGGAAACCCGTAAGGCAGGGGTAGGCAACCTTTCCCCTTTAAGGGCCGAGGGACTTCAGCTCCCAGAATCCCAGGAGCTATTGGCCAACATGGGACTATTGGCCAACATGGCTGAGGCTTCTGGGAGCTGAAGTCCTTCGGCCCTTGAAGGGGAAAGGTTGCCTACCCCTGCCGTAAGGGATGCATGCACCAGGTACTTTTGAATAAGATGGGCATTAAAATAAAATAAAATAAAAACACATAGGTATGCATATGGACAGGAGGGAGAGAGACAGAGTAAGAGAGAGAAATGCTTCCAAAAGAGTAGAGCATTAGACAGGTTGCAGTAGACAAAAGGCGTTGACAACAGAAGGGACAGGATTGTTTGCTTCTGCTCCTCTTTTTAATTATTTTTAAAATTACGAGTATTGGGGTCTAGAGGGTGGTATCTTGGAGGAAGATGGTGGTATCTTGGAGGAAGGACCTGCATGCAAAAGAATTAAAATCCTGAGAAAAACATAGAGTGGGTCCTTGGTTTGGTTCCAGGATCCCCCATGGGTACCAAAATCTGTGGATGCTCAACATCCATTATATATGATGGCATGATAAAATGGTGTCCCTTATATAAAATGGCACAATCAAGCTTTGAATTTTGGATAGAAGATATAGATATAGATATAGATATAGATCAAGCTATGGATGGTTGAATCCATGGATGCAGAGGGCTGACTGTAGTTACAACGATGGCTGGCTGAAGATGGTGGTCTACCTGCCACTTGTAGACCAACAAAAGAAGGGTTTAGCTCTGTGCAAAAGCTGCGTCTTGACTAATTAGAGATGTAAAGGTCCAGGAAATACCAGGAACATTGGGCAAGACCATTCTCTTCCCTCCCCACATTGCTGCAAAATCTTTTTTGTTGTTGTTGTTGTTGTTGTTATTGTTGTTGCAAAAAGTGAATATGGGGGGGGATGGATTATAGAATACTTTATTTTAGAATGAAGAATATTAGGTTTTAAACCATATTTTCTCCTCCCAAATTATTTTTTTTAAAGAAAAGCCATGTAACAGGAAGAAATCTATGTAAAATTAGCACATATAGAACATCAGATCATTGCAGTTCCTGGTCCTATTTTCAACTTGCATGATGGGAATGAGTGCTTTATTTCTGCTGGACACTAAAGAGAACTAGAGGAGACTAATCTTGATAGTT